AGAACTTGTCCACTTGATGCTGAAGAAAGCAGGGCAGGAGAGGCAGACGGGGCACTTGCTGGAGCAGGAATCAACAGTGTGGGTCGTTTACACAGTTAACCTAGAATGCGGAATTCAGATGGCAAGGCAAGCCCTGGGGCTGTTGGCCTTTGGTCTGGAGGTAAAGTCGCCAGTTGGGAAGCTCACATCCCATGTGGGAGAGCCTGGGGCTGAGCGTCTGCACAGCTCCCAGGTCGGCTGCACAGCCAGATTGGCACTAGACTGATATAAGGATGATGGCATCAAGGCCGGTGCTGTGGCATATGATGAGTGTGTTCCATTAGCAAGAAGTGACAGTTGTCAGCATGTGTGCATCTGACAGTAGAGTCATACCTCATTCTAGGTGCAAAAAATCGCAACAAAGTAGAACAAATACCTACAGGTAAAAACTGACCCTGTAAGGCTCCTGTGAGCAAATAACCTGAATAGAATGTTTCCTTATTTACAACACCAAACGCTTAAGCAACCAAAGACAAATAAAAAAAACTGGACTTCCTCAAAATCTAAATCTTTTGTGTTGCAAGGGACATCCAAATATTGAAGAGATCTCACAGAACAGATAGTCAACTGCCCGTAGAACATATGAAAATATATTTTTTAAAAAACATGTATTTATTTTTATTGGAAAGTTAGATATACAGAGAGGAGGAGAAACAGAGAGAAAGATCTTCCAACAGCTGCTTCACTTCCCAAGTAACCACAACGACTGGAGCTGAACCAGTCTGAAGCCAGGAGCCTGGAGCCTCTTCCAGGTCTTCCACATGGGCCCAGGGTCCCAAGGCTTTGGGCCGTCCTCAACTGCTTTCCCAGGCCACAAGCAGGGAGCTGGATGGGAAGCAGAGGAGCTGGGCCACGAACTGGTGCCCATATGGGATCCTGGGTTTACAAGGCAAGGGCTTTAGCCACTAGGCTATTGGACCAGGCCCATAAAGAAAGATCTTTTACAACAAAAATCTCTTATTTATTTGAAAGGCACAGAGAAAGAACAAGAGAGAAATAGAAAGAGAATCTAGCTGCTGGTTCACTCTCCAAATGACCAAATGGCTAGGACTAAGCCAGGCTGAATCTAGAAACCTAGAACTCCACCCAGGTCTCTCCTGGTGATGCAGGAACTTGTTCGCCTGGGTCACCTTCAGTTGCCTTCGCAGGCTCAGGAGCACGGAGCTGAATCAGAAGTGGAGGAGCTGGGATTTGAACTGACACTCCGAAGTGGAATGCCAGTATTGTAAATGGTTGCTTAGTCCACTGGGCCACCACACCAGCTCCACAACTGAATTTTAGAAAGTAGGCAATTTAAAGTGGGTGAAAGATAGACATTTCTTCAAAGAAAATCTGTAAGTGGTGACTAAGTATGTGAAGAATGTTTACCGTGTTCGTTAGGAGTCATTAGGGAAACGAAAGTCAAAGTCAGCCTGAGGCGCCCTGTGCCCCGCCAGATTGAGGAAGATGAGAGCGAGCGGTCCGGGTGGGGCTGTCTGTGTAACTGGAAAACAGTCCCGCGGTTCCTTCCGTGTCAAACCTAGAATTAACTCGGAGGGACAGCGCTGTGGCTCAGTGTGTTAAGCATCTACCTACGATGCTGACATGTTACACGGGCTTCAGTTAGGGTCCCAGGTGCTCCATTTCAGATCCGGCTCCCTGCCAATACGTCTGGGAAAGCAGCAGAAAATGGCCCAAGTGTTTGGACCTCTGCACCCACCTGGGGGACCAGGAAGAAGCTCCTGGCTCCTGGCCTAGCCCAGTCCTGGCCACTGCAGCCACTTAAGGAGTGAACCAGCAGATGGAAGATCTCGCTCTCTCTTTTCTCTGTGTAGCTCTGCCTCTCAAACAAAGCAATAAATCCTAAGTGTTAGTGTGTGAGCGGGTATGTGTGTTGGCGTATGCGAGTACAGGGTAAGCGGCAGCACCATTTCAGGGAGCTTGTGAACACTGGCGCAGGGGTGGATCCTGAACTGCTCCTCTGATCCCGTTGTTTCCTCTGGATTCCTCGGAGTCTGGAGTCCGAAGGCGGTAGCAGCTGTGGCCCCTGCTCGCATACCAGCAGCACAGGGGCCCAAACCCCGCACAGCTGTTTAGAGAAAACGGCAGACGGTTCTGATACTGAGGCCTGCTTGAGGCTCGCTACAAGAAGACTTGCCTAATGCTCTCACTCTACAGCCATGAATTCACCTTTGATTCCAGTGTCAGCTGCCAGTCGGAAGGGCGAGCTGCGTGACAGAGGTGGCATCCAGCTCTCAGTCCTAGCCCTCCAACAGATGTGGGCAGAGATCTCAGGACTGGCGTCGGTCACAGGACAGCAGTAGGGGCTGGCTGCCAGCATGGCACGTGGGACTTAGGCAGAAACAGAGCCATGGTGCTGACCAAGGGGACCCAGGAAAGGACTTCCTGCGTGTTTTCTAGATTTCATTTAACCACTGCAACATTATAAATCTGGATAACTTAACTTACAAGCTAAATTTAAGGAATAAAATTTGAAATGTTAATGTGGAGATGTTCCTTTTTGTATATCGATGGATTAATTGTAAGCAACAAAGTAGTTAAACATACCCATTTAAATTTTTTATAGGTTTTCATATTAAACTATAAGCAAAAAAAAAAAAAAGAATTCACACTTGATTGAGCAATTCCATCCTTTAATTTATTCCTCAATGAAATGAAAGTGATGGGGCCTGGCAAGGTAGCCTAGCGGCTAGAGTCCTTGCCTTGCAAGGATCCCATATGGGTGCCAATTCACATAATGGAATAATATCTAGCAAAAAAACAGAAGGAAGTGCTACTACATGCAGAAATAAAGAGGAAACTTGACAACATTCTAAGCCTTTGTATATGGGTACTGCTTCAAATTCCAGCTGCTCCACTTCCAATTCCGCTCCCTGTTGATGCGCCTGAGAAAGCAGTGGAGGATGACCCGACCCCTTGGGTTCCTGCAGCCAAGTGAGAAACTCAGAAGAAGCTCCTGGTTCCTGCTTTGGCCAGGCCCAGATGTCTGCAGCACAGGCGGAGCCTTGGCTTACCAGGCTGTGGCATCGACCTCTGTACACTGAATATTTTTTATTGTCTGGAAAGAAAGTATTTGAGAGGCAGAGTTAGAGAGAGGAGAGACAGAAAGAGAGTGAGAGAAATCTTCCACCCACTAGTTCACTCCCAGAGCCAAACTGGTCTGAAGCCAAGAGCCAGGAGTCTCTCACAGGAGTGGTAGGGACACAAGGACCTGGGCCAGCCTCTGCTGCTTTCCCAGTCCCATTGGCAGAGAGCTGGGTGGGAGTGGAGCGGCCAGGATTCTAACACATATAGGATGCTGGTGTCGCAGCTGGTGGCTCAACAAGCACACTCCAAATTGTGTAATTCCACTGAGTGGGTCATTGGCATAGGAATAAAGCTGTTAGTGAAACACAGGGCACGTGGGAAAAGCAGGGGGTACATGACAATTGTGCCTTGGGGTGGCTCTCCACTTTTGACCCCTGTCCTCTGGCCCAGCCCTGGATCCCACCTCCTTTATGTGACCTGGCAGGCACAGTGCAGGCTGCAGCTCCTCGGCCCTGCCCAAGGGCTCGCTGGCCTCTAAGCTGTGAGCGGGGCTTACAGTCCCAGGGAGGCCAGGCCTGTGACCAGCCTGCCTGGTGGCTGGGGCAAGGGGCACATGGACAGCCCAGGCTTGAGGGTCCAGAAGGAGCCCTGGGGTGCTGAACTAACCCAAATCACAGTATCCTGGGCAGACAGGCAAGGGCAGACAATGCCCCTCCTTGGCAGGCTATGCCACCTGAGGGGCGTTGTCCTTGTTAAAGGAACCAGCTCAGTCCCCAGATGAGAACCACAGGGACAGGGCTGCCACCCAGAACTTGGGCTATGGCTATTTGTGTAGCTTTTGAAGGTGCAGTGCATGCCAGCACTCCCCCTCCTGCTTGTTCTGTCATTCAGCATCAGTGTGCAGATTCCTACTTAAATCGGACAAGAGCTGGGGTGGCGGGGTAGCTGCCTGCCAAGAGAGTGCTTGGACTGTTACGGAGTTAAGGGGCAAAGGGGTGGCACCTGTGCCCTGGCCAGCAGGCCACGAGAGTCGTGCACAGACACCCACAGCTCCAGGAGCGGCTAAAACAGCTTTTAAGCAAGCAAGGCAAGTGACAGGTCCTAGAGGTCAAAGGTAACCACAGAGCAGCCCAAGCAAGAACAGAGGCTACAGCCGAGCCGGGCAGCAGGGCTGGCTGTGCTGAGCCTGAGTGCAGAAACTAGGGCAGGCTGTGGATCGAATCCCCACCTTGGGGCTCCAGGTCCAACTGCACACAGAGCAGGCCTAGTACTGCAGCAGCCAGGTCCTTTCTGTGACACAGCCAGAATGAGATGACGTTCCAGCTGAAAGCCAGGGAGGAGGCAGAATGCCATGACCAAGGTGGAACGCCCCCACGTCCTCCTTTGCTTTCCCATGAGATCTCCCCTGGTGCCCCGGCCAGGGTGCCACTGACAAGCGCTGAGCATGCCTGGGTCCCAAGCCGTTCCTGGGTCCTGAGCCTTCCTGGGTCCTGAGCCTTTCCTGGGTCCTGAGCCTTTCCTGGGTCCCGAGCCTTTCCTGGGTCCCGAGCCTTTCCTGGGTCCCAAGCCTTTCCTGGGTCCCAAGCCTTTCCTGGGTCCCGAGCCTTTCCTGGGTCCCGAGCCTTCTTGACCACTGGTCCAGGCACCTCCTCTTGAGTGTTGGCCACCTTGTGCACAGACACAGGGCATGTTGGGAATGGGGCATGGGGGTCCAGGTGAGGCAAGGTGAGGGGCCTTGTGTGGAGACCCAGGCGGCCAACCAGTGCCCTGCAGCGAGAGTGCACCATCTGCCGAGCTTCTTGTTTTCACTGGGACAGGGAGAAGAGAGACCCCTGGGTGTGCCCATGAACTGTTACCAGCCGAACAAATCCGGACAGCAGCAGAGCAGGAGCACAGAGGGCCAAGACCTGCCCCGGTGAAAGCTTGCAGCCCAGAGCCAGAGAGAGAGAGCGAGAGAGAGAGCCCAATGCAACAGCACAGTGAGGACCCAGTGTGGGGTGATCCGCAGCGGAGAAGCAGAGGTTCCGAGCAATGCAGAAGTCACGGGCGGTGGGAGAGGAGCAAACGAAAGTTTCCCAGTGGCCGTGGGAGCAGCCAGAACTCGGTAAGGGAGTCAGTTCCTTCCCCTGGCCAGAGCTTTCCCTCTTCCAGACCACCCATGACCATGAACTAGGAGCACCTGTGCAACCTGCCCAGCGCAGCAGGGCACGGTCTCCTCTGGAGGACTCTGAGCCCGGGAGTCATTGCCTGGAACTGGGGCTGCCACACAGGACTATGAGATGCTCAATTCTAGCGGGGCCTCACTCCTAGTGTAAGTTGGTGGCTCTGTCTCAAAATTTGCCCAGCCACTGGAAGAGGCCATATCCATACCAAGTGGCTGTGGGGTCTCACTCCATGTGTGCATTAGGCAGCCACTTGACTTGAAGCAAGTCAAATTCAGAAGCAGTGGTGCTAAAAGGACTTGCTTTGGATAGTTTGTGTGTGTGTGGGGGGGGCAGGGTCTTAAGCAATGGGGGAGACGCCAGACTCAAGAACTCCAAATCAGGGTTTTGAAGGAGACGGGCCAGTCAGAGCCTCAACAGGGAAGCAGCATTGCTACAAAGCAGCAGGAAAAAGTTCCTTTCTGAACAACTTTTGCCAAAGGTTGAAAAAGAACAGGACTGTGTGACTGGTTACAGATAAGAAAGTGGCAGAGCAGATGAGGCTGCCGTGTGTGATGCCAGCATCCCATAAGCGAGTGTTGCCTCTGATCCTTGCTACTTTGCTTGCCACCTAACTTCCTACTAATGTCTGGAACCGTGGAAAATGGTACAAGTACTTGGGCCCTGGCCACTCACATGGGAGACCCAGATGGAGCTCCTGGCCCCTGGTTTCAGCCTGGGCCAGCCCTGGCTGTTGGGACTACTTGGGGAGTGAACCAGCTGATGGAGCTCTCACTCAATTTATTCTGTTGCTTTTCAAATAAACAAATAAACCTAAAATAAATATATAAGAAAGGAATGAACTGGGCACTAGCTGGAACTCCGCCATCTCATCCTGGAGAGCAGGACCAAGTCCTGGCTGCCCCACTTGCTCCACTGCTTCCTGCTAACGTGAGCCCTGGGAAGCAGGTGGCCCAACTGACTCCAAGACCCAGACGGGATTCCTGGCTCCTGGCTTCTACCTGCCTCGGCCCTGGCTGTTGCAAACGCTTGGGTGGAAGATTTTTCTCGTCTCTGTCTCTGCATCATATTGTTTTTCAAGTAGATGAAAATAAATAACTCCTTTTTAAAAAGGAATGAATCAACCAAAAGGAAATGTCCATCAAGCAAGTAGGCATCAGTCAGCCTTTTTTCTTCATTTAATAAGCTTGCTTTATTTAAATCAACCCCAGGAGGAAATGGAGAATGTGAGCAGTTATGTGTTCAACACATTTATTTGTGTAGCTCATAACAGTCCCTTGTTGGAAACATCAGTATTTCCACGTCACAGTTCCTAAAAAGGACCGTGAAGTCTCAATATTCTACATCTCCCAGTCTTCCCTCTCCATTCTGCCCTGGCTTTGTTTGTTTAGTTTTTAAAGATTGATTTGTAAGTTATAGTTACAAAGAGAGACAGAGATCTTCCATCTGCCATCCCCAAAAGGCGGCAATGGCTGATCCAATGGGGGCCTAAAGACTTGGGCCATTCCTTGCTGCTTTCCCAGGTCACAAGCAGGGCACTGGATGGGAAGCTGGGACTCGAACCAGTGCCCGTGAGGGAATGCCAGTGCTGCAGATTAATGTGTTATGCTGCTATGCTGGTCCCAACCAGACTTTCTTAATAGCTTGCTTCATAGCATCACTGCTACCTTCCCACATGTTCTCTAGAACATTCAGGAACCTTCAGTGGGATCTGCTTCCACGCATGGGGGACTCTTCCTTCCTTTGCATTGGCCACAGGCAGATGATCACGCTGTGTGTCTTCTACCTTTTTTTTTCTTAAGGAACTGTCTCAATGTTGTGTTTTTCTGAGCTGCCATCCACAAAGATGCAGCAGCTTGTTCGAAAATCTCAGCCTTTGGATTCTCTGCCCATTCTCTTGGGCACCTGACAAACTCCAGTGAGAGGAACGTGGATTTTCTCACTCACCTGAGCAAGCCCATCAGAGGTTATGGGTTAGCCTGTGGGGGGCGGTGACGGACACCCCAGTGTGGCGGGCGGCTGCCGCAGCTACTTTCTCACAGCACAGCCATTCTGGTCCTACCGCTAGTCATCTCCAGTCTTGTCCCAGATAACATCTGGTTGGACAGCCTAATAGCTATTGATGCAAGAATGCTTGTTCTCAGAGCCAGCAGGATTTGAGCAGGAGCCTTCCTGGAAGCCCCAGCAAGAGGTGATGGTTCAAGTGACTGGGTTCCTGCTCCCAACCGGGAGCCTTGGATTGGGTTCCTGGATCCCAGCCTTCGTCCTGGCCATTGCAGGCATTTGAGGAGTCAACTAGCAGAAGGGAGAACTCTTTTAGTCTTTCTCCTTTTCTCTTCTTCTCTCTCAAATTAAAAAAAAAAAGCTTAATAATAAAGACACTCTTGTTTATATAAAAAATTTCTAAAATTAAAAAAAAATGCATTGCCCTCTAGAGATCCTTTTAGAAGGATTTCCTTATTTGAAAGTCAGAGTTAGAAAGAAGTTCCAGCTATTGGTTCACTCCTCAAATGATTGCAATAGCCAGGAGCCACAAGCTTCCTGCATGTGGGTACAGGGCACCAAGCACTTGGGCCATTTTCTGCTACCTTCCCAGGCACATTAGCAAGATTGATTCAGAAGTGGAACAGCTGGGAACCTTAACTGCACCCATATGGGATGCTGAAATTTCAAATGGAGACTTACCTCTTTACTCCACTGCACCAGCCCCCCAGGGTATCTGCTGTCACCCCTGTTCTACAGGGAAAGAACCCAAGACTTGCAAGATGGTATAACTTGCCAAGACTTCAGGAGAATGAATGTGCCGGTGTGTCGGAGTGGAATATCTGTGCTGCATGTTTGTTGCTGTTTGTGGCCATGACTTTATTTTTATCGTTATTATTTTAACGATTTATTTATTTCCATTGGAAAGGCAGATCCGCAGAGAGGAGAGACAGAAAGATCTTCCATCTGCTGGCTCACCCCCCAAATGGCTGCAATGGCTGGAGCTGAGCCATTGTGCAACTAATTGGTTAACAGTGAGAGGTTCTCAGACATACTGGTGAAGGCCAAGAGAAGGCAGGTGGTGAGCTGGGGGTGAGGGGTCCATGAGTAGGGTGCGTGCCAAGCAGCTGGGACGGCTGGGAGACAGGCTCTACTGAGGCCTCCTGGGCTTGATGGCCTTGGGCTGTCTCCCCAGCATCTCTCAGGAAGCAGGGAGGGGGGTCGCTGTGTGAGGACTCACAGCTCCTTGCAGTTCCCAGACAGAGGGCCCCACCCCCACTCCAGCTGCTCAAAGGAGGAGGAGGAGGCGGAGGAGGAGTTCCTTAGGGCCTGTGGGGACACTCCCCCAACTTCCTCCCTTCAGACCCCTGGCCCGCTGAGCCCAGAGCTGAGCCCTGCCCCTCACCATCCCCTTCAGGCTCCCTCCTCCCCCCCTCCGTCGCCCCTCCCAGGCCAAAGCAGCCAAGCCGCTGAGCTGCTGGGACGGGGAGTGTTGTCTCAGAAACCAGCAGGATTGTTCCTGACATCTGGAAGTGACACCTACTGTTGCTGTTTGTTATTTCCATCTGCCCCTGCCTGCTACTTCCTTAAATTCTTCATCTGCACAACCTTCTTCGTTCTCACTGCATCAGTAGATACAGATCCCAGTTTGCAAACAGGGAAGATACACCCAGAACAACCATGGGCCACAGGGAATAACTTGCCAGGCTTTGAACTCAAGCTCAGTGGGCCTGCAGCAGCAGAGGCTGAACTGGGACTCACTGGACAACAGACTGACCTCCAAGGCGCAGGGGAGTGGCCCGTGACAGCCCAGAGTGGGGGTCCTCGTGCTGCTGTCGGCCAGGGTCTCCTCCTACACAGCGCCCTTGTCCCCAGCGGGCCGGTTTGGGGGCTGTAGGGTTCCCTGCCTGCTGGGTGGAATGAGGCGGGCCAGGGGCCCTCCCTGAACAAAGGCCTGGTGGGAGGCGGTCTATGTGTCCCACCCCGCCTACCCCAGCGTCGGCGGTGGAGCAGACAGCAGCCTCCGAGGCGGAGCGAGCATGGCGGGGGCTGCAGCGGCCCTGCTGCTGGCCCTGAGCGGGCAGTTGGTGAGCTTGGTGCCGGCCGCCGGCAGGCGCGTGGGAGGTGAGTGCCAGGGCGCCTTTGCCTCCCGTGAAGCCCCGTCGGTGGGATCGCGGGAAAGGATGGGCCAGAAGGCCGATCCCGGGGCTGCAGGCCTGCGGTTCCAGCCCAGGAAGGCAGGAATTCATGTTGGCCAGGGACATAGGCTGCCCTGGCGCTAGGAGTCTGAAGTTAATTATTTGTACAGCAATGGGGACAGGGAGGCCCTCTCTGGGAGCTCACTTTGTCTCCGTGTCTAGCCAAAACCCGCCCAGGGCTGGGGGTCACCGCAAGGGACACTGGGCCTGGAGCAGCCAGGGTCGGGCCACACCGCCCCCAGCTCCTGCTCTCCAGGGCAAGGCGCTGGCCAGCCCCATGCTGTGCTTTACCCAGACCCAGGCCTGAGCAAAGGCAGGAGGGAGGCTGGAGGGCTTGGGAGCGGAGGCTGGCACCGAGACAGAGAGCCTGCCAGGTAGCAGATGCTCTCTGCATGAGGGAGATGAGGTGGCACCTGCTGCTGTCAGGTGTGGCCCTGCTGTTGTGAGGTTCTGGGCGGAGGAGAGAGGATGGAGGGTTGGAGGGGGCGAGGGCAGCTAGCAGAGGAGGTCCAAGACTGCTGGGATTTGTGGGGGATGGGAAGGAAGGGGGCCAGCCCCAGACTTGTGGCTTGGGAAGACAGGGAGGGATGTGAGGGTGGTATGGTGGACGCCAAGGCAGTGCAGTGTGGGGAGGTCCCCAAGCAGGCGCAGCAGGTGTAGTCGCCCCACCTCCCCACGTGCTCCTAGTGGGATGTCCTATCAGACAGGTGTCAGGTGTGGACAGGTGCTGACCACAGGGTGAGGGATGCTGAGGCGTTCCCTAAACAGACTTCCACACGACACCCCTTCCCCCCGCCCTGCCAGGTGCACCTCAAAGCTGCCTCACCTTCCACTGCTGGCTGGCTGCTAGGCCTGCCCAGCGTGGCCGTTCCAAACCCAAGGTGGTCCTGGCACTGCAGAGTCTGAGCGGGCCCAATCTGGGTCCTGCCAAATGGGGCTCCTGGGACTCACACGACAAGGGTGGACAGTTCATCTTCTCTTCCTTCCCCACCCCTGCCCAGCCTTCACTCCTACCTCCTGCTGACTACCTCTTCTTCCTGAGTCATGGGTGGGGGTGGGCAGAGAGAGCTGGCAGGAAATAGGGTGGCCCTCATCCCCCATCTGGGTCTCGTTTGGAGCTCAGCACCCAGGAAACCTTGCAAGTCCTCAGCCCCTTGGGGCCCACACTGGATTCTTGTGCTTTTCAGCTGGGGCCAGTCGTGGGGAGCGCCCTGGACTTGCTGACCTCCACAGTTCCCGGCAGCTGGTGCCTGCCCGCTCCTCCGCCCGGACTAGGGCCCCACAGGAGCAGTGGCGCTCCCTGCAGGAGACCCTGAGCAGGCTGGAGGGCGAGGTGGTGCAGCTCAGAGAGCAGGTACTAAAGAGGTGGGGTGGAAGGGGAGGTGGCCCTGGGGTTGGGCGTTCTCAATGTGCCTAGAAGGTTCTAATCCGAGCAGTTGTTCACATGGATTCTTTGATGCAAATGAAGATGCCGTAGGACATTCGTGGTCCATCCCAATTCTCATTCTTTCTTGTTTTTGGCAAACATACGGCGCTCATCCTGGGCACGAGGTGCCCCCAGGAAAGGTTTTGCATGGAGGCCTGGGGGGAGGTGGGCTCTGAGCTGGCTGCTGCAGCAGGAGGTCCACCTAGTGCGTGGGGACTGCCCAGTTCCCTCCTCATCTCTGCTTTCTATAAACCTGCAAGGCGAAATGGGGAGGAAACTGATGGGGTTGACTCCCCTTCCCACCTCCCCTAGAACAAGGACCTGCAGGCGAGGGTGAGGCAGCTGGAGGCCTGTGAATGCCACCCCCTGGCTTCTCCCCAGTGCTGGGCGTTGGGGCGTGCCTGGCCTGAGGACGCTCGCTGGGAGCCCGACCCCTGCACAGCCTGTGTCTGCCAGGATGGGGCCGCACGCTGCGACCCCCAGCTCCATCTGCCTCAGTGCCGTGGTGAGTACTACCCTTTCTGCCCTTGGAGGATGGCTTCGGGTTCCTGCATGACAGCTTGTGCGCCTCATCCACAGGCTGCACCCATGGCAGTCGGGCCTATGATGACGGGGACACCTTCTCCCCAGATGCCTGTACAACCTGCCGCTGCCTGGTGAGTGCCCTAGGAAGCCCCTTCCTGCCCTGCCCCATCAGTCTGCCTCTCTCTGGCTACCTGTGGCTGCTGTGTAGCGTGCCAGCTGTAAGGCGATGGATGCTACCCACCCCTTCTCTGGGGCCTGAACCCCAGGGGTCTTATCTTTCTGGAGCTTACTTAGCACACACAGGGTAGGGGCTCCCAGCCTCCAAGGTGCACCTGTACCTGTGTCGCAGAAGGCATGGGAGCATGTAGCTGCTCATTGCTTCATCACCACATGCCCCTCCTAGTCACTGCTCTTCCACCTGCCCTGACCTGCTTGGTGTCTGCCCTGCAGGCGGGGACCGTGCACTGCCAGCAGACCTCCTGCCCAGAGCTCAACTGCCTGGAGAGCTACACTCCACTGGGCGAGTGCTGTCCTGTCTGCCGGCCAGGTGACTTCCCATCCTACCCCACCCCCACCTGATCTGAGGGTCCAGCACCCACCTGGGGTCACGCCTTCCCTGCCAACCCTTCCCAGGCTGTGAGTATGAGGGCCAGCTTTATGAGGAAGGGGCCAAATTCCAGTCCAGCTCCAACCCTTGTCTCCAGTGCTCCTGCCTGGTGAGTCCTGCTCCTCCCTCCCCCAACACACAATCTTGCCATGGCTGCCCTCTGGCAAGGGATGTGGGTCAGACCTGGAGGTGCTACCACTGTAGTGCATTACAGGGCAGCCTGGTTCGCTGTGTGCCCATGACGTGCCTGCCCAGCCCCTGCCCTGAGCCAATCCTGAGGCCTGGACACTGCTGCCCAAGCTGCCAAGGTGAGAGCCCCCTCCGGCAGGGAGGCCCAGGTCGTCTGTCACTGGGCATTGGGGTTATTAGCAGCTGCCTTTCAAGCTGCATGCCTGAGCTCAAATTCCTAGTGGTGATCCCTCTGCGCCTCCCTTTCCCACTGGAAAGCACTCACTCATCCACGAGGAACATTATTATGGATGGTGCACCCTGTACATGGAGAGGTGGGTGGGGTCAGCCTTCGGGGATGACCACCGCTAGAGGGCAACACTAAATCAATACTGGGGGCGGGGATGGAGTTGCCCAAGGCAGGGGGAGAAAGCAATCTCCAAGGCAGTCTGGACTTAGGAGGGAAGGTGCCCTGCGAGTAGCAAGCCCCGGGGTGACCAGCACAACAAACAACAGCTGGCTGGATACAGTCTAGAGTAGGCTGGTGGATGGTGGCTAGTAGGAGTGGTGAGGTTTGGAACTGACACTCCAGCAGAAGCCACCATGCCATAATGAGGAATCCCAGACTGGTGGGTCCCCTGGGGGTGTGGCCATCTGGCTCCTGAGAGACCTGGAGGGCCAGGCCGAGGAGCCGAGGCCCCTGAGGGTTGGGGTCAAGGGTCAAGACAGAGCTCTGAGCTCCTCTGATCCTGGCTTAAGTGGAGGGGATGTGGAGAGAACTGGCAGGTGAACTGGACCCAGATGTGCAGATCCTTTCTCCTGCCGCCAGCCCCCACCCCAGGCTGCATAGAGGGTGGCAAGTTCCGGGAACACGGCCAGGAGTGGACGGTGCCCGAGGACCCCTGCCGCATCTGCCGCTGCCTGGTGAGCGCCAAGTCAAGGCCGTGAGGGGACAGAGATGATAGGAGAGGACCTGGGCATTGGAGGGGAGGGGCTGGGGACTGCTCTGCGCAGTGATGGGCAGGGTGTAACAGGTGCACAGGGGTGGGCGTGATAGAAGGTGATGCAGGTGGCACATCAGGATGTAGTTAGCTGGGGGTGAAGGGCAGTTCTGGGAGGGGTGTGTGTGGAGCCAGGGTAACATGTGGCCACCAGGCTCCTGGCCTGGCTGTGGTGGCGACCCAGATGGCACAGGTGGCGGAGCTCATAGGCTGCGGCACAGCTCCTGCCCGTGCTGTGTCAATTATGTCTTGAGATGGCCTTTAGGAACACTGGGTGACACAAAATAAACTGTTAGACTTTTATTGCATTTGCCTCTTTTTTTTTGAATTTTTAAAATCTGGCTGAAGATTTACAAATGTGTAATATTAAAATACGTGTATTTCAATTTTTCCCACATCAAAATGGACTTGTCTTTTGAGGTTTATTTATTCATTTATTTGAAGGGCAGAAAGACAGAGGGAGGAAGAAAGAGATCGAGACTTTCCATTTGCTGGTTCGCTTCCCCAAGATGACCACAATAGCCAGGGCTGGGCCAGGCGAGAGCTAGAAGCCAGCAACATCGTTTGGGCTTCCCATGTGGATGCTGGGACCTAAGTACTTGGGACACCTTCCACTGTATTCCCAGGCATATTAGCAGGTTGCTGGATTGGAAACAGAGTAGCCAAGACTTGACCCAGTTCTCCAAAAAGGGATGCTGGTGTCACAGTTGTGTAACCCAGCTACTCTGCCACAACCAGCTATCTTTTGAGTCCATGTTTTCATGAACTTCTTGAAGTGCCCTTTGCTGTTCTTGGGCAGCACAGTTGTAGAACCAGTTCACGACAGAGGTGACACTATGGGGCCTGGGGGCTAATGTCAGATCCACAGAGCTCCCCGACAGCCCATGGGATACCTTTGAGGCACCAAGCTTCGGAGCAGGCATGTCCTCCTTCCCTGTCCACCCTGGCCCCCTCCCCGCCTGCCATGAGCAGCACCAGCCAGATGGGGCTGGAGGCAGTGACCCCAGCTATGTGGGTGTGGATTCCAGGTTTGCGGGGCAGGAGGTATGAGAAACAGCGCATGGGGCAGCAGCAACCACACAGCACCTGCTTTCTCATGAGCATGACAAGCTCAACTTCAAAAGTCAACCCCATCCAGCTCCCTGCTTGTGGCCTGGGAAAGCAGTACCAAAGGCTTGGGACCCTGCACCTGCGTAGGAGACCCGGCTCCTGGCTCTTGGCTCCTGGCTCTGGCACAGCTCCAGCTATTGCAGGCATTTGGGGAGTGAACCAGCAGATAGATGGTTCTTCTCTCTCTCTTCTCTGTAAATCTGATCTGTCTTTTCAATAAGAATAAATAAAGCTTTTTTTAAAAAAGTCAGCATGGCAGGAATGCATGCAGTTTTGAGTCCTGCCAGGCCAGATGGCTTCCTGGGCCTTAATCATGGGTCAAGAATTTCCACGCCTAGGGGTTACTCCCTAACCACCAGGGCCACCGAGCCAATTGTTCCAGTGTGGTCAGTGCCCACGGAGAGGACTGGCATGGGTATGTATGACACGTTTTCAGCTGGGCTGAAGGACCTGAGCGGCCACCCATCCTGGTATCCGTGGGGTAACCATGGCAATCTGGAACCAATTGCCGCAATCAAGGCCCTAGAGGGACAGATGTGCCCCAGACTGAGTGGCACGCACAAATAGAGTTACTTTCCCACGGTTCTAGAGCCGGAAGTCAGTGTAGCCGTGCGGGCAGGGTTGGTGCCTTCCAGGGTTACGAGGGAGAACAAACAGTTCTCTCCTTGGCTGGACCCTGACGGCGCCTTCCTCTGTCCACCCCCACACCAGGAGGGCCACATCCAGTGCCACCAGCAAGAATGTGCCAGTCTGTGCCCCTACCCTGCACGGCCTGTCCCAGGCACCTGCTGCCCCGTGTGTGACGGTGAGAGAGTGGGTGCCGCAGGGTCCCAAGCAGAGGGCAGCCCGGGGAGGACCCCTTGCCTAGGCTCTAAGCACCTCATCCTCTTAGGCTGCTTCTTGAACGGGCGTGAACACCGCAGCGGGGAGCCCGTGGGCTCTGGGGACCCCTGCATGCAGTGTCACTGTGTTGTAAGTGTGGCTACTGGGTGGAGGGTGGGGCTGGCCTCCGAGGCCAGCTCTCTGGGTGCTGACCGCGGATCCTGTTGGCAGAATGGAAGCGTCCAGTGTGAACCCCTGCCTTGTCCACCTGTGCCCTGTACGCACCCAGGCAGGATGCCCAAGCAGTGCTGCCCAGCCTGTGACGGTGAGTGCCTAGCCAGAAAGCCTTGGTGGTGGTCTTCCTGGCCCTAAGCTCCCACCCCGACAGGTGAGTCTGCAATACACCTACCTTGTCGTGACCAGCGGGCTCTGTGGCTCTGGCAGGAGACAGTGTAGGGGCACTGGCAAGACTTCTTAGGGCTATCAGGGATGGGGGGCAGATGTTCCCCCTCTCAGCCTGCAGCCCTGCACCCCATCTCTGTTTACTGCCACCCAGACTGCGAGTACCAGGGACACCAGTACCGGAGCCAGGAGACCTTCACAGTCCGGGAGAATGACCGCTGCTTCCGCTGCACCTGCCAGGTGGGCAGCCGCACCATTTCAGGCCCGGGTCTGTCCCCTGCTGTCCTGGCCTCTGACCCTGTCCTCCCTCATAGGCTGGTGAAGTGTCCTGTGAGGAGACGTGCCCAGTGGCCCCCTGCGCCCTGTCTGCTTCTGGCCCTCAGCTCTGCCCAGGTGTGTGTGTGTGTGCCCAGAAGGGGTGTGGTGGGGTTGGAGGAGAGCAGGGGTGCTAAGTCCCCTGCTAACTGACCACTGCAGTGTTCAGAGTCTCCCGAAGTGGGGGACTCCTCGGGGCTGCTCAAGGGTCTGCACTGGCTGGAGTCATGCCCCACTCCTCCCTACTTCATCCCAGCTACAGTCTGCGTGCTCCATGGAGAGGAATTTGCTGATGGGGTCCAGTGGGAGCCTGATGGCCAACCATGCACTGCCTGCTCCTGCCAAGATGGGGTGCCCGTGTGTGGGGCTGTGCCCTGCCCTCAGTCCTCCTGCCAGCATCCCACCCAACCCCCTGGTGAGTGTCCTGCCTGGCCCACCCAACCCCTCCCTCTCGCCCCAGCCACTGGTCTTGGCTTTCTCCCTTGTTGGTCCAACCCATTCTGACCTGCTGGGGCCCATGCAGGCACCTGCTGCCCGAGGTGTGATGGCTGCACCTACCACGGTGTCGTGTATGCCAACGGGCAGAACTTCACTGATGCAGACAGCCCCTGCCACACCTGCCGCTGCGAGGTACCTGTCTCCCCGAGCCTGCCGAACCCCTCCTTGAGGCCGGCCCCTCTTGGAGTCCACCTCGACTACTCTCTCCCCTTGCCCTCAGGAGGGGACTGTCAGGTGCTCCTTGGTCACCTGCCCTCCCATGACCTGTGCCAGGCCCCAGCATGGACCCGGCCAGTGCTGCCCCAGATGCCCAGGTATGTGCTTACGATGCCCTGACTGGGCTGGGGCTCCCACTGTCCACCAGGTCCATGGGCCCAAACAGGTACCTTGGAAAGCAACAGCTCAGAACTTTCTGGAACTCGTAGGGTGCAGGTGGGATCTCCCAAGTCACCTTGCCACCGTCCCCTGGAATCCTGCCTTTTTTCTCTGAACATTCCCATCACACGAGTGCATTTACCTGTGTAGCACGGGTTCATGCCCGCAGACACCTGAGTCTGCCGCCATGTAGGAGATGGGGTACCCAGGATGAATGTAGGGGACACAGTCCTCTCTCTCTTGCTAAGGGTGCATGTCACCCACATCGGCACCCTGGCCTGGAAGCCTTTTTCCTCCCTGGGAGTCACATACCTGCTTCCAGGGGTAAGGACTCAGGTGCACACACCTGCACTGGCTCCCCCTGCCTCCTCTTCCTAGGTGGCGGGGGAGTAGGGCAGGTTTCAAGCAGGCCCTTCTGTGTGATCCTGAACTCCAGGGGCAGATGGGAGTTGGGAGGGGATGGAAGGGCTAGGGAGGGAGGGGAGAGGGGGTTTGTGAGCCTGCCCCCTCTCCCAACCCTGCCCAGACTGCATCTTGGAGCAACAGGTGTTTGTGGACGGTGAGGCCTTCTCTCACCCTGGAGACCCTTGCCAGGAATGCAGGTGCCAGGAGGGCCACGTGCACTGCAGGCCTCGCACCTGCCCCAGAGCCCTGTGCCGGCACCCTCTACCTGGTAGCTGCTGCCGGACAGACTGCAGTGGTGAGCCGCCGGGCTCCCACAGGGCCCTCTTGGGATGGCTTGCTCCCCCCTTCTGTCCCTCTACCCCCATGCTACCCTACCTCCAGTTAGGGCTGGGAGGGTCTGTCCCACGCTGACACTGCTCCCGCCATCCCCACCAGGCTGTGCCTTCGGAGGCAAGGAGTACCCCGATGGGGCGGACTTCCCCCACCCCTCGGACCCCTGCCGCCTTTGCCGCTGCCTGGTGAGCAGGTGTTCCACCAAGCGGGGCGTGGTGCAAGGTGTGGGAGGCCGGGCCTGGGGAGGCCCGCCCACCAGGAAATGGAGTCTTCCCTACCTCTAAACTCGCTTTACTGCCTGTCGGCCCTGCAGAGTGGCACCGTGCAGTGCCTGGCCCGCCGCTGCCCTCCACTGGCCTGCTCCGAGCCCGTCCTGGTCCCCCAGGAGTGCTGCCCACAGTGCCCGGGTAGGAACCGCTCCCCGAGGGCCCCTGGGAGGGCAGCTACCTGGGCTCTGATTGACGTGCGTGCTGTCACCGCAGCTGCGTCCCCCAACTGCCCGCAGTCTGGGGACCACCCCTGCCACCAGTGCATCTGCCGCGACGGAGCCGTGTCCTGCCAGCTGCTGCCCTGTCCGCCCGCGCCCTGCTCGCACCCGCGGCCGGGCCGCTGTTGCCCCACCTGCGATGGTACCGACCCCGGGAGCCCCAGGCTGGCCAAGGCCCTGTTCTCCACCCGCAGGCAAGGGGACCCTCTATCCTCCTCCAAGCGCTCCACCTCTGCCCCCTTCTCCAGGCTGCCTGTTCCATGGGAAGCAGTTTGCCAGCGGAGAGCGCTTCCCCTCACCCACTGACGCCTGCCAGGTCTGCTTGTGTTGGCAAGGCAGCGTGAGCTGCGAACCCAAGGCCTGTGCCCCTGCCCAGTGCCCCTTTCCTGTCAGCGACAGCTGCTGCCCATCCTGTGATGGTGAGGGACGGGCAGGGCATGGGGAAGTGGGTGGGGACATGGGAGGCCTGGGTCATTGCGTTTGCCCCCCTGGAGTGGACCTAGCACATCCATTACATGTCTTCTCCCACTTACGGTGCTGTTTGCTGTGTGACTTTGAGCTGGTTCCTTAACCTCTCTGGGCCTATTAATAACTCTGGGTAAAAGGAGAGTTGAACCAGACCCAGCTCTCTAGTCTCTCCTCAGTGGTCTGGGTCATTTTCGCTGCATACCTTCCACCAGTTGTAATTTTATTAGTTTTTCTCGTAAATTTATTTAGAAAGGGATTTTCTCATGCTACAACTCAAAAATTATACTTGCCAGAAATGAACTGTAAGATGAATACATTGAGTATGGGACATTACCAAGGCTTCGGGCCTTTCCCATTTCTCTCTCTTCTTATCTTTTAAAATTAATTAATTAATTAATTTGAAAGGTAGAATAAGAGAGAGAGAAAGGGGTGGGGATCTCCCATTCTCTGGTTCACTTCCCAAATGGCCACAGTCCAGCTGACACCAGGAACTTGGAGTTCCACCTGGGTCTCCCGTGTGGGTGCGGGGGCCCAAGCACTTGGACCATCTCCCGCTGCCTTCCATGCACATTGACATGAAGCTGGGTTAGAAGTGGAACAGCCGGATTCGAACTGCCATTCCCATGTGGGATGCCGGGCCCTGTCTTCTCTCTTATAAAGAGAGCAGAGAGTGTGACGGGGGACAGGGCCAGGGCAGGCAGCCAGCATCATGGGAGCCTGGCCCCTTCCAGATGAGGGCCTGGGAGAGCCCAGCTCAGGGCTGCCTCAGTCAGGAGCGTGGGGGCTTTCTGCGGTGCCCACAGAGTTAGAGCCAGGAGTGTGGGGGCTTTCTGTGGTGCCCACAGTTAGAGCCAGGAGCGCGGGGGCTTTCTGCAATGCCCACAGAGTTAGAGCCAGGAACGTGGGCGCTTTCTGCGGTGCCCACAGAGTTAGAGCCAGGAGTGTGGGCGCTTTCTGCGGTGCCCACAGAGTCAGAGCCGGGGGCAGCCTTGTATGGGCTTTACCTGTAGACTGCACAGGGAGACCCTTGGCCAGTGCAGACCTGACCCATCCAGGCTACCTGCCTTCCCCAGCCTTGGGGCCTTGCAGGGCCCCCTGCAGGCCTTGCTGCCATCCAACCTGTCCTTTCTGCCTCTTTCCACTCTCCCCTTGAAGGCTGTGAGTATCTGGGAGTGTCCTACCTGAGCCACCAGGAGTTCCCGGACCCCCGAGAGCCCTGCGGCCTGTGTACCTGCCTTGGGGGCTTTGTGACCTGCAGCCGCCGGCCCTGCGAGCCCCTGGCCTGCAGCCACCCTCTCACCCCACCTGGGCACTGCTGCCCCACCTGCCAGGGTAGGTCTGCCCCTGCCTGGCCTCCCCATTTACAGCCCCCTGGGGCCAGCTTCTCCTGCCTTCTGAGTTAGGCCAAAATCTCACCCCTTAGACCTCCGTGGGCCCTCTTTCACCACCGTGCCCACTTGCTGTCCCAACTCTCACACGCTCTCGCTGCCTGCCTCAGCTATAGCCCCAAGTTGCAAGGGGCAGCTTCCTCCTCTCCCTTGCCCTCTTGCCACCGAGCCCATGGCACACAGCACCGTCTCGGCAAGTATCTCCCCTCTGCTCGGCAGCCCCTGGCTCCTGCACAGACACGTCCGTGCACACAAACCTCGCTGCCTGTGATCTGACTCAGAGATGGGCCTTCATCCTCCAGCTTCAGGGAAGGGCCAGGGCATGAGTGCAAGCACACTTGTTCACAAATGTACGTGTGTTTGTTCATGTGTGCTCATGTGTGTTTATGGTCTCGTGTGTGTGTGTGTGCATGGCACACGTGGAGGCTCCCTTGCATGGCAGCCCTTCCATCACAGCTCCACTTTGCAGGCTGTCACTATCATGGTATCACTGTTGCCCTGGGAGAGACCCTACCCAACCCACTTGACCCCACCTGCTCCTTCTGCACTTGCCAGGTAAGCAGGGTAACCGTGCATGCTTCCATCCTGCTCTCTGGCCAGCAAAGGCCAGGGTCCCCTGTACCTGTGACAGCTTGTGGACAGCTCTGGGCTCAGGACTCCCTCCTGGACCGGGGGTGGGGGTGTGCCCCACAGGCTCAGTAGTGCTCCTTACCATGACGCTGTGCAGCCCTGCGAGAGGCTGAAGGGTGACCTCTCTCCCCCAGGAAGGCTCAATGCGTTGCCAGAAGAAGCCGTGTCCCCCAGCTCTCTGCCCCCACCCTGTTCCAGGACCCTGTTCCTGCCCAGTTTGCCACAGTGAGCTGCTTCTCCATCCCCTTCCTCCCCAACTCCTTCTCCCCCTCCCTTCTCCCCTACCAGGCCTAAGGTTGCACTGTGCAAGGGGCATGGACCTTCATGCCCAACCCAGAAAATGTTTGCCTCCTCCCCAAACCTCTCCCTAGGCTGCCTCTCTCAGGGCCGGGAGTACCAAGATGGAGAGGAATTTGAGGGGCCTGCAGGCAGCTGTGAACAATGCCACTGTCAGGTGAGGCAGGGAGCCGGGGTGGGATGGGCTGCAGGTGCCAGGCCTAGGAGGCAAGCGTGGCGCTCTACACAACCCCACAGGCTGCCCAGGTCACCTGCAGGCGGCGGCAGTGCCCATCCCTGCCCTGCCGGCACCATGTCACGGAGCCGGGGAGCTGCTGCCCTCGCTGTAGAGGTATGCTTGCCTCCCCTCCCTGCTTCCCACCCTCCAATGCTGTCCATCTCCTCCTTCCACACCTCCACCCTGGGCCCACAGTCAGCTCTGGCTACCTCCACCTGCCTCTGAACCTGGCAGGGCCGTGCCCCTTTCACAGTCATCACGCACATTCACGGAGCCTATGCCAGGGCCGGGCGCTGCACTTAAACATGTCACATATCATACCATTGAATCCACCCAGCTCTGCTGTGTTTGTTCCCATTTCACAGATGGACAACAGAGGTACAGGGAGGGTGCAGTTTGCCGTGGTCCCTTAGCTGGCAGGCGGCCGAGTACAGGCAGACACGCCTCCAGAAGCCCATGCAGGAACCAGCATGGAGTCATTTCTGTAGCAAACTCCCATTCCTTCCCTGTGAGGACATGGGCTTGGAGAATGTGAGTCGCCTGGGGCACAGGGTTGGCATCAGAGCTGTTCATTTGCTCCCCTGCGCTTAGGGTACACTGCTAGGTGCTTGGCGCATTAGGTTGCAATATGCAGAACCTACTGCCTGGAGCTTGGTCTAATGAGCAGAGAAGTGCAGCACTTAGACCCCTCCACTGCAGACATGAGCTCTGCCCCCTTCCTCCAGGTGCCCACTGTCCTGCTTACCCTCCCGCCCAGGGGCAGACCTCTGGGTCTGGGCCTCCAAGCTTATCCCTTCTCCTTATTCCCCGGACCCACAGGCTGCTTGGTAGAGGGCAAGGAGCACCCCGAAGGCAGCAGCTGGGTGCCCCCCGACAGCCCCTGCTCTTCCTGCACCTGTCATGAAGGCGTTGTGACCTGCAGCAGAGTGCAGTGTGTTGTCAACGCCTGTCCCCAGCCCCAGCAGGACCGGGGGGACTGCTGTCCTCGCTGCCTTGGTACTGGAAGCTGGGGAGGTGGGAAGAGGGGACAGTAAGGGAGGGGGCACAGGGGTTCGCCTCTCCCTGGCTCAGTGCTCACCAAGTCTTGGCCTCTGGAACCCCCCCGGGGTGGGAGCAGGTGACCTCATTCTTTGACACTGCTGCCGGCCAGAAGGCTCCTTGGTCCCTTCACTGTTCCTTCACTTACACCCTTCCCCTAGACTGTGAGCACCAGGGCCGGAAGTACGAGCCTGGACAGAGCTTCCAGCCTGGGGCAGACCCCTGTGAAGTGTGTACCTGTGAGGTAGGGAGGGTGTGTGGTTGGACCAGAGGGGCGGGCAGGGCACTGGAGTTGGGCATGACTGCCCACCAGCATGGCCTAGGCCGGGGGAGGGTCTTCCTGGCTGGAGTGTGTGTGTGAGGGCTCAAGTTTGTCTGGCAGGTGATGGGGAGCCAAGTAAATAGGACAGGTGTCTGAGATCATTAGGAGATGGGGGTATGGGAGGCTGTGAGGGCAGGGGTCAGAGGTCATAGGAGGCGTCTTGGTGACTGGCTGAAAGGGGGCACGGGATGAGGACCCCAGAGAGGAGGAGTTTAGGGAGACCTTGAGTGTCTCTTCCTACTTGAGTCCAGCACACCCTGGGGAGGCACAGCAGGCCCCTGGAGAACCCAAAGTTCAGGGCTGGAGTGGGGAGAGGGGCTGTTCTGGCATCCACGGCTGCCCTCTCTTTCTCCTCATAGCCACAGCCCGAGGGGCCCTCCAGCTTCCGATGCCACAGGCAACAGTGTCCCAGCCTGGTAGGCTGCCCCCCCAGCCAGCTGCTGCCCCCTGGGCCCCAGGACTGCTGCCCAACCTGTGCCCGTGAGTCCCAGGATGAGGCGGGAGGGGTGACATGAGATGCAAGTGTAGGTTCCCTCTCCCATCCTCCCCTGACTCCAGAGGGCCATTTTGGAAGCCCATGTCCTAGTGGGTGAAGCCTGCCCCACCCCAAGGAGAACTGGGGGCATTGGCAGGAACCCCTTGTCCCTCCCAAGGCAGGCGCTGTTTGTGGAGCAACTTCCCCGCCAGGTGGCGCTGCAGGGTGGCAATGGGCAGAGCTGTTGGGTCCTGGAGAGTGGATGTGCTAGGAGCAGAGACATAGAACGCCTTGCCAGGGGTGGAAACAGCTTTCTTTCTTTCTTTCTTTCTTTCTTTCTTTCTTTCTTTCTTTCTTTCTTTATTTATTTATTTATTTTTCAAAAAAGATTTATTTGAAAGGCAGAGTTACACAGAGAGGGAGATTTTCCATCTGCTGGTTCACTCGCCGAATGGTTGCAATGACCACATTCAGGCTGGTCCAAAGCCAGGACCCAGGAGCTTCTTCTAGGTTTCCCGTGCAGGTGCAGGGTCCCAAGTCCTTGGATCATCCTCTACTGATTTCCCAGAACATGAGCAGGGACCTGGATGGGAGTTGAACAGCTGGGATTCAAACTGGTGCCCATATGGCTGCTGGCAGCTTAACACCCTGCACCACAAACACTGATCCGTGGACTAACATGTATTAAACGCCTCATGCGTGCCACACACTGCCGAGCTGGACCGCATTGGTGTCGATAGGTACCCAGTGTGGCCAGCGCGGTCAGTCCTTTGCTGATGAACAGACTGAGTCTGGAAGAGGTCGATTCATCTTCCCAGGCCAGCACAGGCACTGTAGGAAGTAGACCCTGGGCCATCCGAGTCTGCTTCCTGCAGCATTTCAGACTGTGCAGGGAGGGGACGGGGCACGATCCAGGTCTCCCACCATCACAGCCTAGCCAAGTCCCTCTCCCACAAAGTCCAAACATTCCTCTGCCAGATCAAGGGCAAGAAGAGAGTCTGCTGTCACTGGAGTGCTGGGGTCGGGGGGTCCTGAGTGTGGCCCCAGGAGTGAGTGAGGACAGCTGGGGCGTCAGTCACCCTCCCCCAGCCCCAGCCCCACACTGGGTTCTCATTTCACAGAGGCACTGAGTAACTGCACAGAAAGCCTGCAGGGCTCCGAGGTGGCCGCACCAGACCCCTGCTACACCTGCCGCTGCCAGGTGGGCCCCTCGCCCTGCTTACCTGGCAGGGGGAGGATGTGGGGATGGGTGACGGGACATAGGGTGATGCATCCACGTCAGCACTGACCCACTCACCCGGAACGTCCTTTGTCACCTGCGCCCTGCTCTCCTCCTGCTCCACGGCCGCTGTCACACAGGACCTGACGTGGCTCTGTGTCCGCCGGGCCTGTCCTGAGCTCAGCTGTCCCCTGCTGCAGCGCCACACCCCCCCGGGGGACTGCTGTCCTGTGTGCCAGGGTAAGCACCCTCGGAGTCCTGGAGGGAGGAAGGGCAGGGGGAGGGAGGACTGGCCTTCATGAGCCAAACAGGAAGGCCAAGGGCTACGTTCAGAACTCAGCTTCTGCTTCTGCAGAAACTCCGGGGTGGTTTGCACCAGGCAGAGGGAGACAGGCCAGAAGACAAGGGCTGTCTCGAGGAGGCCTGGCTTGAGGCGTATCAGGAGGCTCCTTCGGGCACCAAGGGGTGGGTGCCAGGTGTGGCTCCCAGGACCCTAGGGACACTGAGGCACAGGTGAAAGCCAGGCCTCTAGTGGGAGTCGAGACAGTAGCAGGGCACAGGTGGAACCCAGGGCGAGCCTACCTGCTGACCCGCTTGGGGGGAACTCCAGGCTTGGAGGGCAGAGCTGGAAGCCCATGGGGCCTGCCACACCACTCCTCTCTCCTTAGAATGTGTAATGGAGGCCGGGGGCCGGAGAGTGGCTGATGGAGAGAGCTGGCGGGACCCCAGCAACGCCTGTGTCACCTGCACCTGTCGGGTGAGCCAGAGCGGGCCGTGGGGGGCCCTATGGACAGATGAGGGAGGAGACGGGCAGATGGGGAGTAGGGCAGCTGTAGAGGGATGCAGAGCTAAGGGTGATGTCATTGCTGACTGGAACCCAAATGGCTACTGCCTTAGACACCCCCTCCCCCTCTGCCCGGAAGTGTGAGGCCAAAGACCACAGACCCTGCAGGAAGTCCTTAAGGCCACCTTGTCTGTTTGCAGCGGGGCCACGTGGACTGCCGCCCAGAGAAGTGCCAGACAGTCTCCTGCCCAGACGGTTGGGCCCGGGTGCTGGAGGCCGGCACCTGCTGTGAGCGATGTCAAGGTGCCAGGCGGGGACCCGGTGGAAGGTTAAGCAAGGCCTTCCTCAAGCACCGGGGAAGGCAGCTGACCCCACTCCCCTGTCCCTTCAGCGCCAGCCGCGTCCTGTGTGCACCAGGGCCTCCCGGTGGCCTCTGGGCAGCGCTGGAGCGTCGATGCCTGCACCAGCTGCTCCTGCGAGTCAGGTGCCGTGCGCTGCCAGAGCCAGCGCTGCCAGGCACTGTCGTGTGGCCCCGTGAGTGCCACGGTGCTACCGGGTGTAGGGGACAGAAAGGGAGGCTGGGTGTGGCCACGCAGGCTCTGAACCACCTCGGCGAGGGAGCTGGCGGCTTGCAGTTCCCATGCGGCCGCCAGGAGTGTCCTGCAGGGTTGGGTGTGCGCTGCGAGGGGCAGCGAGTCCCGCCTGCCTGACGCTGTCTGGGGCTGAGGCCAGGACGAGGCCCCAGCCCTGAGTCCCGGCAGCTGCTGTCCCCGTTGCCTGCCCCGGCCAGCTTCCTGCATGGCTTTTGGTGACCCGCACTATCGCACCTTCGACGGTCGCCTGCTGCACTTTCAGGGAGGCTGCAGCTACGTGCTGGCCAAGGACTGCGGTGGCAGCGACTTCAGGTATGCACACCCGACCCTGACCCAGCCCTCCCCGACCCCTGACACCCCCAATCATCCTGCGTTCAACTGACCGCCGGGGCACCCACAGCGTGCACGTGACCAATGACGCCCGGGGCCGGAGCGGCGTGGCTTGGACGCAGGAGGTGGAAGTGCTGCTGGGGGTCACTGCTGCCTCCGTGAGGCTGCTGCAGGGTGGAGTGGTCCAGGTGAGCTGAGCGGGCTGAGGACCCCGGTGGCCACACATGCACACTCGTGCTCACCGCAGTGCTCCCCCGTTCTCCCTGCAGGTGGACGGGCGAGCCGTGGCCTTGCCCTTCCTGCAGGAGCCAATGCTATATGTGGAGCTGCGGGGTCGCACCGTGATCTTGCACGCCCAGCTTGGACTCAAGGTTGGGTGCCCTGGGGTGATCTATAGAAGGGGCAGGATTGCTAGGGGCCAGGGGCCACCCTGGAGTGTTCATCTTGGTTTCTTCTTTTAAAGCTGTATTTGTTACTGAAAGGTAGAGTTCAAGAGAGTTAGAGAGGAAGAGAGATCCTAGCCGGAGCCAGGAACTTGGAACTGGCACCCTGGGTCTCATGTGGGTGGCTGAGTTGAGTCCCAGCATTTGGGCCATTTCTGGCGCACTTTAGCAGGGAGCTGGATGGGAAGTGGTCCAGCCTGGACTTGAAACAGTGAGTTGCAGGTGGCTATGCCACTTCTTGTTCCTGCCACTCCAGGTTTTTAATCAGAGTCCTGCCACCCACAGCCTGGCTGCTCTCAGGCCCCTATCTGCTTCCTCTTGGGCTCAGTTTGTTCATCTGTGAAGTGGAAAGAAAGCGGTGACCCGGAGGCCCCCCGGGTGGTGCCTGAGATCCCGCCCACAACTCCCATGAGGAAGGGTGATTTCATGCAGGAAGGCGCCTTCACACTTGGGGGGCCACATGGCTCCTCTGAGACAGTGTTGCCCCAGAAGTAACTGCCGTGCCCTAGGGGTTCCACTGACAGGCGCAGGCAGGAGCAGGCACCCTGGCCCAGGAGCTGTGGGCCCCTCATCCTGACACCTGTGATGTCAGGGGACGCACAGCTTGTGCCAGCTCGACCTGGACCAGAGTAGCATCCTGTCTGTGGGAAGCCTCCTGCACCTGCTGCTTGGGGCCTGGTGGGCCTGGGGCTCCCCCCAGGGTCCCTCCCTTCTGCACAGTCCCAGGCCTTTCTGCACAGGTGCTGTGGGATGGGAAGTCCCAGGTGGAGGTGAGCGTGCCCGGCTCCTACCGGGGCAGGACGTGTGGGCTGTGTGGGAACTTCAATGGCTTTGCTCAGGATGACCTACAGGGTCCTGGGGAACTGCTTCTCCCCACGGAAGCTGCCTTTGGAAACAGCTGGAAGGTGAGTGGCCTGGGAGCTGGGGAGGGGCCGGTGCAGGGCAGCCTGTGTGGAACCAGCTGGCGAAAGCTTTCTGGCTCTCGGGTTACATAGAAGCCTGCTGTTGTCACCCCACCTATAGGTCCCCGATGGGCCCAGGCCTGTCCAGCCCTGTTCCGCAGGCCAGGAAGTGGATCCATGCCGGGCGGCAGGTTACTGGGCCAGGCGTGAGGCCAACGCCCGGTGTAGGGTGCTGAAGGCGCCCCCATTCAGCCGGTGCCATGCTGTGGTGGCCCCAGATCCCTTCTTTGCCGCTTGCGTGTACGACCTGTGTGCCTGTGGCCCTGGTTCTTCAGGCGACGCCTGTCTCTGTGATGCCCTGGAAGCTTATGCCAGCCAGTGCCGCCAGGCTGGGGTAACGCCGCCTGCCTGGCGGGGCCCGGCGCTTTGTGGTGAGGCATGGTGCCCAGTGCACGTTGGGGCAGGCAGCCAGTGGGTTCAGGGAGGCCTGCGGGAGGTGAGCTCAAGGTGCGACCGTCCATCCCAGGAAGCCGTTTCTCTTTTCTTTGCAGCGGTGGGCTGTGCCCTGGATCGGGGCTTCGTGTTTGATGAATGTGGCCCGCCCTGTCCCCGCACCTGCTTCAACCAGCATGTCCCCCTGGGGGAGCTGGCCGCGCACTGCGTAAGGCCCTGCATCCCTGGCTGCCAGTGCCCTGCGGGACTAGTGGAGCATGAGGCCCACTGCATCCCACCCAACGCCTGCCCCCCGGTCCTGCTCTTCGAGGCCGCCCCCTCCCCAGCGGAGCCTGAGCCGGGGCCCCTCTGAGTGAGTGGGCATGCCGGAGCCTGGCGCAGGTCCTGCTGGGCTGAGTGTGAAGCAGCGAAGCCTGGGCCCGCCCGGTGCCAGGTGCCCACTGCCAGGTGCCCGCTGGGCTGCCCGATGCCAGGTGCCTGCCGGGCTGCCCGGATGTGAGGCTGAGGGGTGCTGTTCCTCAGGCGCAGGTTTGCGCCTGGGCTGCCTCCCCTGGCCTCTCCCTGGTGCTGTATGGGAAACCCACCACAGGCAGGAGGCAGGCCACCTGAGGCCCTGCCTGGTGCTCAGCCTGTGCAGTGGGCACACCCCACCTCCTCCACGTTCGGGACCTTCTGTGGATCCATGGATGGGCCCGTGAGGGCCCAGTCCACCCTTGACTTCTCGATTCCTCTTGGTACAGTGGTACCCGATGCTCAGGTTCCTTCTGGATCATTCTAAGAATAAGGGACACGGCTACCTCAAGGCCTGGCTGGAAAGAGAAAATAAACAATGATGAAAAAAAGGTGTGCCCACATGCATACACACACACAGCCCCATACACACACACAGCCCATCAAAAAACCGCTGGTCAGACACAACAGGTGCGTGTGTGTGTTCCTAGACACGCAGAGCCCACATGGACAGATGTGTAGGTGGCACCAGGACATTCTCATGGTAGGGAAGAGAACATAGATGTAAAATAGCAAAGTCCTTGGAGCTCATGCTGTGGCAAAGTAGGCTAAGCCCCAGTCTACAGTGCCAGCATCCCATACTGGAACTGGTTTGAGTCCTGGCTGCTCCACTTTTGATCCAGTTGTTTACTAATGCACGTGGGATAGCAGCAGAAGATGTTTCACATCCTTGAGACCCTGTACCCAGAAGAAGCTCAAGGCTCCAGGCTTCAGAGCAGCCCAGCCTCTGCCATTGTGGCCATTAGGGGAGTGAGCCAGAGAACGGAGGATCTTTCCATCTCTCCTCTCTGTACATCTGTCTTTCACATAAAAAGAAAGAAAGAAATAGCAAGGTCCAGATCATGCTTTTCGTTGTTCCAGCTGAGTGTCCTTGGCATTGGTGTCCTTGGCCCTGGCTGTACCGTCAGTAACAGTCCCTCCCTCATCGTTACTGACACAAGTGGTTTCTACAGCTGAAAAATGGGTTAAAAACTACACATGTTGGGTCTGACACATGGCTTGGTGGCTAAATCCTCCCCTGATAGCACCGGGATCCCATGTGAGCGCCACTTCATATCCCGGCTGCTCTGCTTCCCACCCAGCTCCCTACCTGTGGCCTGGGAAAGCAGTGGAGGATAACCCAAAGTCTTGGGACCCTGCGCCCATGTGGGAGACCCAGAAGAAGCTCCTGGCTCCTGGCTTCAGATTGGCTCAGCTCTGGCCATTGTGGCCACTTGGGTAGTGAACCAGAAGACAGAATATCCTTCTCCCTATTTCTCCTTCTTTGTAAATCTGACTTTCCAAATAAATAAATACATCTTTAACAACAATAACAAAAATGTTCTCTGGGTCTGGCCTGGCCGTGTGGTCACGAATTAAACTACATAGGTGCTGCCACGTTGCTGGTTTGCGTCCCCGCTGCTCCACTCCTATTCCAACTTCCTGCTCACACGTCCTAGAAGGCTGCCAGCGATAGCTTAAGTGCTTGGGCCCCTGTCATTCACAAGGGACACTCGGATGGAGTTCTCGGCTCCTGGCTTCAATCTGGCCCAGCTCTGGCTGTTGTGGCAAAAAAGGGAATGAGCCAGCAGATGGAAGATCTTTTTCTCTCCCTCACTATCTTACTCTTACTCTCCCTTTCAAGTAGTTAAGAACATACAAGCCTTGAAACAGAAAAGGCTCTCTGAGTGCAGGCAGTCCTGGAGGCTGGGCTGCAGCTGGCTCAGGTGTCAGGGTCTGCATTATTGAGATGGCCTTGGCCTTGACCTCACCACAGAGCACAGGGAGCATGCATGTGGGGCATCTGTACCAGCCACCTGCCCATGGCACAGATGGCCCCTCCCCGTGGTGGGCTCGGGCTCTCCAGCACCCCGTGGGCCTTGGCTCTGTGCCAGCGCCTCTTCCAGCACCCCGCAGGCCTGGGCAAGCTCATGGCTGCCCTTCGCCATGTGGAGGAGGCAGGACCCTGCCTCAGAGGGGGAAAGTGGGACTCTGTCTCTCTGTCCCCCATCCCTGAAGGGCAAGAAGACCAGGGCTGCCGCCTAGGGATGGAGCTCCCTGCCGTGTTGCTGCAAATGGAGCAGAGCCGGAGGGCCCAGAAACAGGTAGGGACAGGGTGGGACGAGCAGGGGTGGGGTGAGGGGGTGAGTAGGGAGGTTCAGGGGGTGATGGGGTGAACAAGGGGAAGGATATGCAAGGGAATGATGGGGGATGGGCTGGGGTGGGGGACAGTGGGTACCTCCTTATGCCTGGGCACCCCTTCTTCCCTACAGCTCCTGTGGGACTTGGAGTTGCTGACAGGGGCAGGGCTGGGCCTCTTCTGGCCCCCTTGGGCCCAGTCCTGCAGGCTGAGGGGCCAGGCCCAGCACACACAGAGCCAGCCCCGCAGCAGGTCGGGTAGGGAGGAGAAGCAGCTGGTAAGCAGGGGCACTGCATGACCCAAGTGTTCGTGGTGGTGGCTGACAAATGGACGGCGAAAGGGCTATGGTGACAGATAACTCTGGGTTCCAGCCCTTGCCTGCTGCTCCCCGGGGCCTGCGAACCTCTGCTTGCTGAGCTGCAAGCCAGGCAATGAGCACTTTCCCCTGAGGGTGTCTGCAGGCCCACGGAAAGGTCCTCGCACAGCCCAGCAACACCCGGCAGCCCTTCAACACGGGAGGGCAGAGGCCCTTTGGTGCCCGTTGTGCTCTTGAGGTGGCAGCTCCACCTCCAGGAGCAGTGTGTGGTTACTGAACCCAGATCAGAACTCGGGGGGGGGGAGTGGAGGGGGATAAGAAAAGGGGCCCCCAGACCCAGTTCTGTCCAGGCACTTTGGGCAGGTTGGCCGCCATTCTCTGAGCTAGGAGGGTGTGTCAGAGTTGACCACTAAGGGGCCTGGCCATCATCCCCCAGTGGGACTGCAGGCTCATGTCCCAAGCTCCCTTGCATGGAAGGGAGAGGGGAACACCACACAGGGTACTGGCACCAGAACGCAGGGCCATGCAGGGAGGGGTACTGCCCTGTGGATGAATGCTCCAGGCTGCACTTCATGCCCCAGGCCAGGAACTCGGCCAGCTGGAACCATCTGTTGCCAGCACGGTGAGTCTCTTCCTGTGTGTTGCCACGTGAGGTGACCACGGCCCAAGCCCTATCTCCTTCTAGCCCTGTCTTACTCGCGGCTCTTCCTGGGCTGTCTGCTCAGTTGCACCCAAGCATGGCTCAGTTGCCATGGGAACACTGAATCCCAGCTCCTGGGGCCCAGCAGCAGGTGGAGGGGCTGGGGAAGGCCACCCTGGACATTGTGATGGGGAGGTGCAGCAGCCTGCTGGTTGGGGGGTACTCCCTCCCCACCTCAAAGCCCACAGCCCCCCACAGGCGCACCTGAACTCCTGTAGGGGGCAGGCTCCAGACCTGGGTGAAGTGAGGAGTGATGCAGACAGCAGGTGCCAGAGCCCAGGCATACCTGGGGAACACACGGGTGGAGCAGAACTGGAGGGCCCAGGAGCAGGTAGGGGCCAAATGGGGTGCACGGGGAGGGGTGTGCAGGATGAGTGGGGGGATATAGGAGGTATGTTGGCAGGTGGAGGTGAGAGGTGCTAGGGTGACGAGACTGGACTGAGAGGTGGTGGCACATATTTACCGAACTCATTTCAAACTTCTCATTCTTCATTTCTTGTCTTTTGATTGGGTGCCAGAGCATCCAGGATGGCAATGTGGGTTTGATTTTATGTTTCTGCTGCAGCTGTCTCGGGCACTGGGTCCACACCGAAGCAAGGGACTCAGGGAAGGGCACCAGATGTGGTCATGGCTGACGGGGAGGCAGGAGGGCATGGAATGGCAAGTCCAGGCCACCTGCTTGCCAGGCACAGGGTCATTACAAAGAGTGAGGGAGACGTGGTCCCCATCTCTGAACTCACAGGCTGTTGCAAGAGTGAGGTCACAGACATCTGGCATTCTATGATCCTTCAGTGTGTTACAATAAATGAGAGGATTCACAGATCGCTAAATTATAAGTCATGCAACTAAAGCAAAGCCATCCATTTTTAACTATTGCCTTCTACAAGTAAGAGAGGAATGTCAGTCACAGCTTGATCAGCAGAAGAAAATCTATTAGTGATATGTCACTTGGGAAGCCAGGAGACCGGTGGTGACATTCCTACTGAGAGATCAATTCTCTAGTAAAGTGGCCAACCAGAGTTACGGGGTGCTTTTTGCAGTTCAGGGAAGAAGCTGGCAATGACTTTCAAGGCTTTTAAGACTCTTTCGTTCAAAAAAATCCTTCAAGAGATTGGTGTTCTCAGAGAGCACACTGTTGACAGGCTGTGAGTGTCCACGTTTCTGTATCGCATGGGAGAATGCGTTGCAGCTGTCTTGTGCCAGGCTTTGGCTTCCGGCCTTGGGGACTGGGCCCTGGGACTTGATCTTACGGATGTAGAACGCTTCTCCCTCCTCGGGGAGGCATCACTCGCTTTAGATTTCTTTTTGATTACGAGACTTTGCAGTTTATAGCCCAGGCTCGGCCCTGGTTTTGTTTCATTTTGCTGTTAGAAACTACTGGCTCAAGAACTTTCTTACCGACAGCACATCCAGTGGGTTTCTTGTATGGGCCTGAAGGGATGACACCAGGACCGAGCAGAGTGTCCTTCCCTGGCAATCGGGGAGGAGAGGGAGTGCCAGCTGCTCGGCAGTGCTCTTTCTTGGTTGAGGGGAAGAAGAGGAGGAAGGCTGGGCTGGCTGTTGACCAGGCACAACTGACAGCAGGAGCGTGGCAGGCTGTGCAGATCAAAGTGGCATGATGAGCTGTGGCAGCCTTGGAGCTCAGAGTGCCCTTGGAGCACCACCAGGCACCCAGCCCACAAGTCGCTCCAGGTTCTGGCTTCCAGTTCATGGGGAGGCTGTGCGAGGGGCAGAAGCAAGGTTACCTGTTCCCAAGCGTTTTTTTTTTTTTTTTCTCAGCTTGCTTACGAGAACTGACACCTGTTGCCTACAGCAGCAGTTACACAGAACTGGGAAACTCAGAGTTCAAGGCACCTCTGGCCAGAATCCTCCCAGATGTGGTGCGAAGAGTATTGGGTGGGGTCGTCTGGGGGGAGGAGGAGGCTGCTGGGGTGATGTGGGGCTGCCCATAGGTGGCTGGGCAGGGTGGTGGTGGTGACGTACGCAACGCATCAAATGGACTGGGCAAATTCAGGACATCACTGGAATGGCTGGGCTGCCCAGGGGCAAGGCCCCGGCTGAGGTTGGGGTAGGGGTGGGATTGCTTGGCTAAGGTCGGGGTGCAGGGAGTGCTCCAGCCTGGGTCCCAAGTACTGTTCGTGCACAGGATCTGTCTCAGAGGGAAGAAAACAGCTCGGCAGAGCCCACCACGCGGAAGGCCCACCGACAAGGGAGAAGGCTGGTTGAGGAAAGCTCAGAGTCCTCAGAGGGCCCACCAGAACCCCAGGACACGCCCACGGAGCGGCACTCGGGCCTGAGCCAGGCCACAGCAGAATGCCAGAAACTGGTGAAGAATCAGAGTCAGACAGCAAGGTCAAAGGAAACTCCGAGAGGGGAGGGGGCTCAAAGTCCGAGGGCAGAAGATGCTGGGAGTGAGAGAGGAGAGGCCTCCCCTGGTGAGGGTCTAGGGGCTCGGCCAAGTCCTAGAGGAACTAGTCCTCTTGGGAGCCAGCAAAGCCTTCCGGCTTGGGGAGGAGCAGCCGGGGAGGTGGCTCCGGGAGAGGCCAGGGCTGCTCAGCCCAGGGAGGAAGACTATGCTCCCGGCCGCCCTGGAGATGGGATTGCGCAGCCGCAGGGACGAAAGAGCCCAGGCCCCCAATGTTGGAGTCCCTCGCTGGTGCAGGACAGGATTCTAGGGCGAGGGCAGAACCGGCAGGCAGCACGGGCCTCTCGGGAGGGACCGTGCCCTCCTCCTCCTACCCGGAGCCCAGCAGCCCCACCGCTGCTCCCGGGACCGAGAACCACCAAGCAGGGAGGCGCGGGAGGCTCTGAGCCGCAGCAGATCGCTCCTGCGGCGAGAGACCCACCGGAGCGGGAGGAGGAAGGAGAGGCGAGGCTGCCAGGTCCCCAGGCTGCTTGGCCGGCGCCCGCGGGAAGGGAGAGGGTGTCGGCGAGCGCGGCGCAGCATCTGCAGCGGCTGCTGGAGCTACACGGTGCTGCCAGGAGGCGACGGCGGCGGGAGCGCGAGCAGCAGCGGCTCCGGGTGCGCACAGACCCGGTGGGGACGGGGTAGGGGCCAGGAGTGTCGGAGGCGGGCTCCCCCCTCCAGCTGACGGCAGCCTTTCCAGGTCCTGGAGCGCCTCTGCCTCGCCAGGAACCGCCACTGCCGGGTTCATCCCTTAGGGCTCAGCCGGACTCAGGAGCTCTCGCCACAGGCAAGAATCCCAGCAGCGGGCGGGCTTGTGTTTGTGGGCAGTCCCTTTGAAGGGCTCCCCTGCCCACTGGCGTCTGCTGGGTGCTGTCTCCCCGTCGCGCCTGGGTCAGAGGAGAGAGCACCGGCTCAGCGCTTTCTGCTGCCCAGGAGGACGCGGCCGGACGGCGGCGCGTTCTGCAGGAGCAGCTGGAGCAGGTGTACCAGGAGAGGACCTGGAGGCTGCGGGTCCTCAGGGCCAGGTGCGTGCGGGGCAGCCAGGGACTTGGTGAGGGGTTGAAGGAGGGAGGAGTCACTCTCCCTTCCCCCCCTCCAATCTGGATGACACTTTCTCTCCTCCTAGGAACACCCGGAACTTTCGGGAACTCCTGTGGGCCCCTGGTGCTGATAAACCTGCCCCTGGGGAATAGAACTGCCTGGGCCCAGCGTCCCTTGGTCTGTGCTGGGTGCTCAGATCTGATTAAGGAGCTGTGTGGGTTAAAACAGCAGCCTACAGGTTAGAGGTGACTTCCAAAAGGCTCAAAGGCAGCCTCCCTTCTCCTAGACTCCCTTCCCCAAGCCAGGGAGACTCAGACGTGTGGGAGCTTCGCCAGCTGGAGACTCTTATTCCTTCTCCCTTGTCCTAAGACCCGGTGTCTGGCACAAGGTCAGAGGGCCAGGTCCCGCGGGTCAAGCAGTGCAAAGGCCCCATTCTTGCGGAAGAATGACTCGATGCGGCACATTTTGCAGGAGACCAGCTCTTGCTTGGCTGGGGGACCTGGAAAAAGAAGCCGGGGAAGGAGGGGGGCGGGAATGGGTTCCCTGGTAAGAGATGTGTGGAGCAGGGGAACTCCGTCTGTGTGCAGAGCCCCAGGAACCTATCTGCATTGTGTGTGCTGTATAAAATAAAATCTCCTCTTGAGGAGTGGGAGCCCGCTGGAGACAGTGTGTGATGATGGCAGGTGGCAGTGCGGGGCTCATCTTGTCACCACTGCCCCCAGCTTTAGGATCCCCAACTAGCTGCCCTTATCTATAGCCTCAGGAACTGGGGAAGCTGAGTAAGATCTCCAGGAGAGACCCAGCTATCCCTCCACCCCTGACACTCCCCTGTTAGAACAGGACTGAGCAGTCTCTCTTGAGCAGCCACTCACAGAGAGCGAAGAGGCCCCCAAGCCCAGCTGGCCTGTTCCTTTCCAATACTGAATCTTCTCCCCTCCCAGCTGATGCCACTCCTCAGCCTGTCAGCCTTCTGCCAGCTGCCACCCTCCAGCCTGGCACTCTGCCTTCTGCCTCTCCTCCTGTCGGATCCCGGCACCTGGGGTGAGGTTGCCACAGCACAGCTTTGAGTAGCACTTAATGATTGCCGTTGACTTTGCACCTCCTTCCTGCTCTGACCTCCCTAGGGGCGGGGGGCTGTCGCCTCCTGGGACCTCCAGCCTGAGCCCAGTCCTGGGTCCTGTGCACCTGCTAGTCTTGCCCTCGCACTTCAGCCAAACACACCTGAGTGTCACCATGGACTTCTCTCACCCTCTATCCATGAAGGAGTTCCACTGAGTCTCCCTCCAGAACATCCCAGCTTTCAGCTCTACTAATCCTGCTGGCCAGGGCCACTCTCACTTCCTGCCAGGGTAACTCAACACCAGGAGCCTAAGTCACCTGTCAGCTTCCCCAGCCCCCTCCCCCTTCTGCCCCTTGTCATGTGGGTTCTCACCGGTCTGCGGCAGCCCCTGCCCCCTGGCCTCCACCACACCCCCTTCCAGGATGGTTCCTTGCTCTTCTGTTGCCCAGAGCTAACGTCATCTCTGCTCCCTGGCACCTGGCAGTGCCTGCTTTCCAGAGCGCCAGCACTCACCCAGCTGCCAGCCGTAGGTGAAGTTGGTGGTGATGGGGAAGAGGTAGCGTGTTTCTGGCAAGTCCAGCTTCCGGGTGCTGAGGTAGCGGTGGCGCCCTTGGAAGTCGTGGGAGATGCCCTCATACAGCAGGGCCCGGGTGGCGGGCAGCACCGGGTACATCTCTGACTGCAGAGGCGCCTCTGTGACAAGGCTGGGGGCCGTGACAGGGACTGCCTTGGGGGCAGGCGGCGGGGAAAGTGGGGCCTTGGGGTAGAGAGTGGGCAGTTTGAGGGGCAGCCGAGCTGCGGCCTTGGCCTTCTGCTTGGCCTTCACCAGCGAGCCGTACTTGCGGTACCATTCGCAACGCAGCATTTTCTCCCTCAGGTAATCCTCCTTCCAAAAGTCCTGCCGCAGCGTGTCCATGTTGAGCTGCCGAGCCATGGCGGCGAGTGAGGGGGAGGAGGGTGAACTGGTGAGCACAGGCCTGCAGGCAGCAGGTGGCTGCCTGCCCTGGGAGTCACCTAGCAACCAAGCCTCACCTCACACAAGGCCAGGGTTCCACCTGCTGTGCCCACACACGCCTCACGTGCCTCAGGTCCCAGTGGCTGTGGTCCTGATGCTGGACAGACCTGCAGGCCCCAGGCTGGATCTGATATTAAAGGCCTTCAACTTTCAAATTTGTGCTTTCTGCATGTTTCCCTGGGGCCAGGCCCCTTTTCTGCCCACGTGGGGAGCCATTTGGGAGGCTCCAGCCTTCTCCACCCCCAGCTGGTCTTTCTGACCCCGAGGCCCAGTGCTCGAGTTAGGGCCTCTTGGCACATCCTCCTGATCCCAACCTTGCAAGCCGGGGGTCTTCAGTCTTCAGTAGAACATTCTCCATCAATGGCAAGTTAATCTTCCCCCATAGTCTCACCCCACACGCTTCCTCTCCAGCACTCAGCTCCAGTTTGGACAGAAGCCAGAATATTACTTTAATTTAACATCAACAACGACATGAGGGCACAACACAGGGAAGAGGTAGTGGAAAGAGAAGACGGGCACACCTCCTGCTCCCTCACCAGCCTGGGTTTAATGGCAGAGCCCCACGACCCTAGATGCACTTCACACAGCCTCTCAGTAGGATGGCAGGGAGCAGGGGACTGGAAATCAGAGACTCGGAACATAAAAGGCGGGCCGAGGGCCAGCCTGCGGGGCAACGCCTAGCGCAGGTCTTCGGCCGTGAACATGCCACGGGCCCTGCGCAGGATGGAGTCCTTGGCAGCGTCGTAGGGGTGCTCTTTGGATGGGATCTCCAGCACGGCGGGGATGGAGCGCTGGTGGGCGTCCAGCGCGTGCCTCACCATCTCTGCGATGTACTGGTTGATGAGGATAATGCCGATGTCATCCCGGTTGAGAAACTGCCTGTTGGGAGACGAGGGAAGAGTCCGGAGCAGCTCTGGGGCCCGTCTCTCCAGCAGGCCCCGCAGCCCCCGACTGGAAGATGAGGCTGACCCAGGAAACAGAGAGGCAAGAAAAAAGTTGTTTCTGGCTAGCTGACCCAGACTCAATTTCTTTACTATTTACTTATTTTTTTGAAGATTTATTTCTTTTTACTGGAAAAGCAGATCAGATTTACGGAGAAAAGGAGAGATAGAGAAAAATCTTCCATCTTCTGGTTCACTCCCCCAAGTGGCTACAACAGCCAGATCCAAAGCCAGGAGCTTTTTCCCTAGTTCAAGTTCTGCCTCCACTTCCAATTGCAGCTGGCTGCATATGACTCCGGTACTTGGGTCCTTGCCACGCATGTGGGAGACCCACACTGAGTGTGGGGCTTCCAGCTTCAGCTTGGCCCAGGCCCCGCAGTCAGTAGCATTTGGAAGCTGAACCAGCAGATGGAAGAGACCTCTTTCTCTCTGCCTTGCAAACAAAACAAAAATAAATACACTTTCTTTCCAAACAAAACAAAACAAAAAATACAGGCATGTATCCCTTTGTATCTGCATAAAGAAATATGGGAATGATAAGAAGCAAATTGGCCACCTGCAGGGGCAGTCGAGGGACACGACTGGGAGCAGGGTGCAGTGGGTTGCTCCACACGAGCCTGTTAAACACTGATCTGCAAACACATGAATCTCTCAGAAGTAACCAAATTCAGTATATTCTCCAGGACTGTGGGAACATGGCGCTGCGGGGACTGCACAGGCTCCAGGCCCGTGCTGACGGAGCCCCACCACACTAGGAGGAGCCGCCACTGGAGGACTCACTGCTTCTACACACACGGACTCCGGCCCTGCGATCACCCAGCCTTTAGCTGCTCTCTCTGGAAGGACCCCTCACTGAGCACCCACCCTCTGCCAGGCACCGGGGGAAGCTGACACTCAATGACTGCTGAGGTTCCTTTAGGTGGTAAACATGGAAAATTCTCCAAGTAAACTTTGTCCTTCCCCCCAGACGTCCCAGGTCCCTGTGCCACATTCCTCGGCCCTCAGCAGCCTCCCAGATCTGGCCCAACTTGTACCCTGAGAGCACCTAGTTTCCGGCAGCTGGTGGTCGGTTGTTTAGGGGAAAACAGGTGCGGGTGGTTTGTTATCATGACTCCATTCTAGAGGTCACCAGGACACTGGGAGGATTAAAAGGCATGCCTGCAACCACCGTCCTGGAAGCAGCGTAGGAAATGAGAAGTTGGTCTAACCATACGATCCTGCTACATCCCCCTCCTGGGAATATATCCAAACTCTGCATGTGAGAGAACGACCCTGATGTGCAAGGTTTTAGCAAGGAGGCCAGAGCCAGGCTGGGAGGAAAAGCAAGCGCAGTCAAAGCAGTCAAGCCCAGGGCCAACAGAGGAAAGCTTTCCACAAGCACAGTATCCTATCTGGCTGAAGACCAGAGCAGAGGGTTGCAATAGGCCTGGGTTCGAGACCCAGCCTTGTCTCTTCTAACTGGAGTGCCTTCTGCTGTGTGCCTCAACCACTTTTGTTTTTCACACCTGGGAAATGGAAACACTAACCCCTAACCTTCCCAGGTCAACTGTGAGTCCCTAGAGGAGAAGCACTGTGCAAGAGAACTTGGTCCTCTCGTCAAGGACCTCCACGGGGACATGTGGACGCTCAGCTGTGCCGGGGCCAGGGTTCTACAGCTCTGCAGGGGGCCGTCAGGGACCTCCGTGGGGCCATCTGGACGTCCAGCTGTGCTGGGGCAGGAGGTCCAGGCCCCGGTGAGTTCTACAGCTCTGCAGGGGACCTTCGGGGACCTCCGTGGGGCCATGTGGACAGCTGTGCCGGGGGCAGGAGGCCCAGGCCCCGGTGAGTTCTACAGCTCTGCAGGGGACCTTCGGGGACTGTGGGGGACCTCCGTGGGGCCATGTGGACGTCCAGCTGTGCCGGGGGCAGGGGGTCCAGGCCCCGGTGAGTTCTACAGCTCTGCCGGGGACCTTCGGGGACCTCCGTGGGGCCATCTGGACAGCTGTGCCGGGGGCAGGGGGTCCAGGCCCGGCGCCGATGGCCAGCTCTCTTCCCTTCTTGGCTGACACAGAGTCATGTGGGAGGAAGCTCGCGCACCTGACACAGCCTGCATCCCACCGCACCCCGACAGGGAAATGGAGGCGCCGAGGCCTTCCCGCAGGCCGGCACCGGGTCGGGGGTCTGACACCAGGTCCCCCAGGCAGCCTCACCCTGCACTCCCACCCAAGGCGCTGGAAGGACCCGTTCAGGCCTCCCCGGCCACCGTACCGGAAAGTGTCTTCTATCTCAGTGATAGTGGTGTCCTTCTCCACCACCAGGAAATTAGGGTGGCGGTTCTTGTTGAGCTCCCCGATGCCGCCCAGCAGGAAGCCGGTCACCGTGTCCTCGTCTCCGATCACCGCGATCAGCTTCCCTCTCCCGGCCATCCTGGTAGCGGAGCAGAACCCGAGTCTCCGAAGCCGGGCTTCCGCAGCAGCTCGCCGGCTTGGCCCCACCCCTCCGCCGCCTATCACACATGCGCAGTCCGCCCACGCGACTCCAGGACATGCGCAGTAACGGCGAGGCCGCCTCCTCCTGAAGCCGCCTGCGCCATAGAGAGGTCGAACCGGCGGACTACGAGTCCCAGAAGGCTGCGCGGCACCACGGTCTCCGGCTGGTGCGGTTCGTTTGTTCCTTCCTTCGCCGGCTCATCAGAAGTGGTAGTGCTGAATTCCGGAAAAGACGCTTCTCGGGGCGGGTACGTGCCTGTGTCCTGTATGTATGTATGTAAATGAGACTCATCGTTAACCGTATTCTCTGAGAGAATAGCAGTAAAAAGTAAACTTACAATGATGCATAAATGTTTTTGAAACCCACACAGTGTTTTCATCATACGTTTCTTAAAACATTTTATTTGAAAGGCATGGTTAGGGAGAAGGAGAGACAGAGATCTTCCATTTGCTGGTTCCCTTTCCAGATGCTAAGCTGGTTCCAAGTGAAGAGCCTGGAGCGTCTCACAGGTCTCCCACGTGGGGCCAGGGCCCAGAGCCTTAGCCGTCCTCCACTGCGTTGCCAGGCGCAGTAGCACGGAGCTGGATGGGAAGGGGAACAGCCGAGATTCGAACCAGTGTCCATAGGGATGCCAGTGCTGCAGGAAGAGGCCCTAACAGTTGGATTTTCCAGCTGCCCCTGTGCCCGCTGTGTGTGTTTAGGCGGGGCTGGGAGGAAGCCAACAGGGGTGCCACTGTGCTTAGAGATGGTGGTGACCCCTCTGCAGCAGTGGCCAGACAAGCCCAGTTTGGAGACACCGCAGGCCAAGTGGGGTTTTGTGTCTGCTTATTTGAGAGGCAGACAGAAAGAAAGCTGCCTTTTGCTGGTTCCTGCCCCAGAAGCCTGCAGTGGCCAGCAGCTGGTAATGGGATTCAGGTTTCCCATGTGGAGGGCAGGAACCCAGTTAGGGAGCTATCACTGCTCTCCCATGCTCTGTGCGGGCAGGAAGCTGAGGCAGGAACGCAGCCCAGTATTCCAGGATGGGGTATGTCTCTCCTGCACTCCTTTATGTGGAAGGCAGAGACAGAGATGTGTTCATCTGTTGGTTCACTCTCTAAACGGCTACAGGAGCCAGAGATTCTTCATGGTGCTTCCACGTGGATACGGGGACCCTGCACTTTCCAGGCACATTAACAGGGAGCTGGATCAGACATGCAGCAGCTGGGACTTGAACCAGCACCACATGGAATGCTGGTACAGCAGGCAGCAACTTTATGTACTCGGCTTTTGCCACAGCCTTCCTCCCTCTTTGCTCACTCTCTCTCCAAATTTAGTAATTTATTTGAAAATCAGAGTTAAAGAAGAGATCTTCCATTCACTCTCCAATAGGGCTGGGCCAGGCCAGAGTCCACAGCCAGAAGCTTTTCCGGCTCTCCCACGTGGGATGGAAGGAGACCATCACTTGGGCCGTGCTCTGCTGCTTTCTCAGGCCTAAGCAGGGAGCTGGGTCAGTAGTGGAGCCACTGGGACCATGTAGGATTGTGACCATGTAGGATTGTGTCCATGTAGGATTGTGTCCATGTGGGATTGTGACCATGTAGGATTGTGTCCATGTAGGATTGTGTCCATGTAGGATTGTGTCCATGTGGGATTGTGTCCATGTAGGATTGTGTCCATGTGGGATTGTGTCCATGTAGGATTGTGTCCATGTGGGATTGTGACCATGTGGGATTGTGACCATGTGGGATTGTGACCATGTGGGATTGTGACCATGTGGGATTGTGTCCATGTGGGATTGTGACCATGTAGGATGTGACCATGTGGGATTGTGGCCTTGTGGGATTATGTCCATGTGGGATTGTGGCCATGTGGGATTGTGGGAAGCTGCACTGCAGCTGGCTTTGCCTTGTGTGCCATCATGTCAGCCCCCTGATTGGGGTTTTTTAACCACTAGGCTAAACACCTGCTGCAAAATTGATTTTTTAAAGGCATTTTTATTAGAAAGGCAGATTTACAGAGAGAAGGAGAGACAGAAAGATCTTCCATCTGCTGGTTCACTCCCCAAATTGCTGCAATGGCCAGAGCTGAATTGAGCCAATCTAAAGAAGAGCCAGGAGCTTCTGCCGGGTCTCCCACACAGGTGCAGGTCCCAAGGTTTTGGGCCGTACCGCTTTCCCAGGGCACAAGCAGGGAGCTGGATGGGAGGTGGAGCAGCCAGAACATGAACCGGTGCCAGGATAGAACCCCAGTGCTTGCAAGGTAAGGATTTAGCCAATATGCCATTGCTTCAGGCCCCCAAATTGATTTTTTAAAAAAGATTTATTTATTTTTATTGCAAAGTCAAATATACAGAGAGGAGGAGAGACAGAGAGGAAGATCCTCCGTCTGATGATTCACTCCCCAAGTGAGCACAAAAACGGCCAGTGCTGCACCGATCCGGAGCCAGGAGCCAGGAACTTCCTCTAGGTCTCCAACACGGGTGCAGGGTCCCAAAGTTTTGGGCCATCCTCGACTGCTTTCCCAGGACACAAGCAGGGAGCTGGATGGGAAGCACAGCAGCCGGGACCAGAACCAGCACCCATATGGGATCCCGGTGCATTCAGGGTGAGGACTTTAGCTGCTAGGCCACCATGCTGGGCCCAAACTGATTCTTATTTGAAAGGTGGGGAGGGAGGTGTGAGAGAGAGAGAGCTCCCATCTACTGGCTCACTTTCCAGATGTGCCAATAGCCAGGGCTGGGCCAGACCAAAGCTGGGAGCCAGGAACCCAGTCAAGTCTCCCATGTGGGCAGCAGGAAGCATTACCTGCCTCCTCTTGGAGTCTGCACTGGCAAGTAGCTGTAATTACAAGCAAAGCCAGTGAAGTCCCAGGAGCTCCAGCAGGGGATGCAGGAATTGCAAGCAGCCATCTTGCCCGCTGTGCCCACCCTGAAGCTGATTTCTGAGTTGACTGTTGGGAGAGTAAGGGAGAGGAACATGCAGGTTGTTAACTTGGGCAGCTGAAGACAGGAGTCATCTCCTGCATGAGTAGGCTCCGAGATGAGTAGCTGGAGGGGAAAGGGCCTCTCCTTTGCCCTCTGCTTCAGCAGATGAGCAGGGACCCCTGGTGTGGGCACATGCTGTGAGGGTGAGAGTGCATGAGAGCCATGTGGCCTGGCAGGCACAGCTGCAGCACTTAGAGGGGGTGCTTCTGGACTCACTACCCACGGTCTCAGAGCCTTACTTTTCCCAGCAATGTGTCTACCTCCCAGGGCTGTTTAGGGAATGAAGCAAGAAAGGGCCATCAATACACCCAGTGCCCAGAGTCATGCTGTGGTTGGGTGACAGTGGCTAGGCTGGGACACTGCACAGGTGGAGGGTGCAGAGCCTCAGTGGGAGGGGTTGGGATGGGACGAGGGGGTGGGAGGGTGAGTGTGGGAGTGCTGAGCGTGGTGCCTGGAGACCTGGTGTGGTGGCTCCATGGCGGAAGCCTCGCCTTTGTGCCCCAGGCTCCCTTATGGGTGCCACTTCGTGTCCCGGCTGCTCCATTTCCCATCCAGCTCCCTGGTTGTCACCTGGGAAAGCAGTTAAGGATGGGATCCTGCATTTGTACGCGAGACCCGGGAGAAGCTCCTGGCTCCTGGATTTGGATCAGCTCAGCTCTAGCTGTTGTGACCGCTTGGGGAGTAAACCGGGGCATGGAAGATCTCTCTGGGTGTCTCTCCTTCTCTCTGTAAGTCTGCCTTTCCATAAAAATTAATAAGTCTTAACCAAAAGCAAGCAAGCAAGCAAGCAGTGCTGCAGTGGGCTTGTCTGGTCCAGTAAGGAGCAGAGATGTCACCATGTCCACTACACACTGTCTCCTTCCGTCCACTGTCCGTCATCCAGTGGGGTCAAGACTGGGGGCTGAGGGTGCAGGCCTGGTAGAGGTGAGGCTGTGTGTGCTCAGGAGCTTCCTGCAGGACCGAGGGTGTAGGTGGGCACACAGTAGGGAGGCTCCTGGGAGGAACCCGAGGGGCAGGATGCAGAGCAAGAGCAAGGAGAGGGGAAAGTCCCTCCATCTCTGCCGAGGAAGAGAGAGGCCGGAAGCAGAGTGAGGGCACAGGCCAGCTGCTGAGTGTGGGGTGAGGAGGGTCTGGCCGACAGCTGCAGTCACCTCGTGTCACAGTCCCAAGGGACCGGCATAGAGCAGCAGGTGCATGTAGTGAGCTGTGCGCTGGCCCAGCCCAGCCCGTCAGGTGCTCCTGTCCTTGTTTGCCAGCACCTACAGAAGGGCCTGTCAGACAGGAGCCATTGGGTGGCTTCGAGGATGTGGGCAGAGATGAGGGTGGTGAATGTGGCCCGGGTGGGCCATGGCGGCTGGGTTGCTGCCCCAGGGAGCTTCCTGTTGGCCAAGAGCAGGATGGGGGCTGGGAGAATCTAGGGGCCCAGAGGAGGGGTCAGAGGTGGACAGTGCAGTGGAGCAGTGGGCACACTCCTGAGTTACCTTAGTGGGGAAACTTGTGGGGGCTGTGAGCTCCTGGGCTGTGGCCTGGAGCGACAGGGGTCCTCTGGAAAGGCCTCTGAGCTGCCCTGCGCAGTGGAACATAGCCCCTTCAACGGCAGTAGCTGCAGCGTGCAGGTGGACCGCAGGGAGCTGGCCAGGACCAAGGTGAGGCGTGCAAAACAGCTCCTCTTGCCTGTGGGGTGGAGAGCATTCCCGAGGCAGCACCCACTTCAGGTCCTAACTGGAACATCCCTGGGGCCAGGCAGAGCTGCCCCTGGCCTCTGGGACAGGCTCCAAAAGCCCCACCTGACTGGCCACCACCCCTCCTCCAACTCCACCCGACTGGCCATCACCCCTCCTTCAGCTCTCCGAACCCCAACTGAGCACGGCTTGGGCCTCAGACGGTGATTCAGCCTCTGGTCTCCAGGGTCAAGAGGCTGGAAAGTGGCCAGCACCCCACCCAGCCTCACCCCTGAGCGCACACCCGCAGGACGAGCCGAGCCTCTGCGACAGCCACACTTTATTTGGAGTTTTCCCACCAGGGCAGCTCCCAGATGAGCCACAAGACA